ACAGGCACTCAGATGTTTAAAGGTTAAAAGAAACTTGATAGTCTGTGGAAGTAGATTGACAGGAACTGACAGTCTGAATAAGAAAAGAGATTCTGGAAGACTGCACCCTGGGAGGAATGGAAAAATCATAAATATTTGTATAATTAAAAGGAATTGGAGCCTAGATTCAATTGTTATCAATTTCTGCAACTGATCTTTACTGAGACTAATTGAAATTCTTGATTTGTATAAAGTAGGCCGGTGCCGCGGCTCAATAGGCTAATCCTCCACCTAGCGGCACCGGCACACCGGGTTCTAGTCCCGGTCAGGGCGCCGAATTCTGTCCCGGTTGCCCCTCTTCCAGGCCAGCTCTCTGCTATGGCCAGGGAGTGCAGTGGAGGATGGCCCAGGTGCTTGGGCCCTGCACCCCATGGGAGACCAGGAAAAGCACCTGGCTCCTGGCTCCTGCCATCGGATCAGCGCGGTGCGCCGGCCGCGGCGGCCATTGGAGGGTGAACCAACGGCAAAGGAAGACCTTTCTCTCTGTCTCTCTCTCTCACTGTCCACTCTGCCTGTCAAAAAAAAAAAAAAAAAAAGAAGACGGAATCTAAGAGTAAAATATCTTCCTTAAATCACACATTATATCAATTCAGAAACCTAGCAAAAACACCATAGCTTCACAGCTGAAACTAAAATCTTACCAAACTTTTTTTTATTTCACTTATTTATTTATTTTTGACAATAACAAATTTTTTGACAATAAGGACAGGAAATAATTCAATTACAACACTATATCTATAACATGCAAAATGCTAGATGAGGTATGATCTCTAAAAGTCTTACTTTATTCAACGTATTTTATTTTTGGCCTCCAATTTACCAGAAGGATTTCTACATAAGCTAAGACATTAAAGTAACTGTCACTTCCTCCATCAGGACAGCTGCTTACCTTAGTAGAACTGTGTACCTAGAGAAGGCATTTCAGTTTGTCACTTACAGTGGATGTTTTGTTTTGCTTACATATGAATTTCTCTATTGACAGATCATTCCTGGTTGACCTACTTGTTTTGTTATTGCTACTGTATAATACTTCTTTTACTTCCTTTTGTTCTCATCAATGCTCTATAGGTTTATTTGAATAATCAAAATTTTTCCAAGGAAACAAAAAGAAACCATGTGTTAAAATTATCCAGGGACAATGTAGCTTTTTTAAAGATTTTAAAATATAACAGATTAAGTAGCAACTAAAAGATTTACACCTTTTTTTACAGATTATAGAAAGGTTTTAGAAGTCAGCATAAATAGGTAATGATGTGGCACTAGAATACTTAGAACTCAAAATACAACTTAAACAAAAGGATCACCAGACCATTAATGAAAAAAGGCCTAAAATTCTGGCACCCAAACAATGTTAGATAAAACCTAGAAAGAAAGAAGCTTCCAGGGCCGGTGCCATGGCTCACTTAGTTAATCTTCCACCTGTGGCGCCGGCATCACATATGGGCGCCGGATTCTGTCCCGGTTGCTCCTCTTCCAGTCCAACTCTCTGCTGCAGCCTGGGAGGACAGTGGAGGATGACCCAAGTGCTTGGGCCCCTGCACCTGCGTGGGAGACCAGGAAGAAGCACCTGGCTCCTGGCTTTGGATCAGCACAGCGCCAGCCATAGCAACCATTTGGGGGGTGAACCAACAGAAGGAAGACCTTTCTCTCTCTCTTTCTCTCTCTCTCTCTTTCTCTCTCTCTCTCTCTCACACTGTCTATATCTCTACCTGTCAAATAAAAAAGAAAAAAAGAAAAAAGAAAGAAGCTTAGGAAAAGAGAAAACACATACACCCTAAAGCAAAACAAAATTAGCTTATTCATAAACAAATTGCTGTAAGTATACATTAAACATGTATGACATTACAATGAACTACCAAGGCAGCTAAAATTATGGGGGAAATGAGGAGACTACCAGATCAATAAAGTCCAAAAAGACTGTTGTTATTCTTCAGTTTGGAAAGGTAAAAATAGAAGACATGGTCAAAATTCTAAGACTGTACCACATAAACTCCCGAGAGCACATTTAAAAAGAAAATAAAAATTATTTAGGAGAAATAAAAGGAATTACATCTTCACTTAAATAAGCAGACAAGATCATGTAAATAAAAGCATACAAATACAAAAGTTTGAATAAATTTTTTAAAAAGATTTTATTTATTTGACAGGTAGAGTTACAGACAGTGAGAGAGAGACAGAGAGAAAGGTCTTCCTTCCATTGGTTCAATCTCTAAATGGCTGCTATGGCCAGCACTGCACCAATCCGAAACCAGGAACCAGGTGCTTCTTCCTGGTCTCCCATGCAGGTGCAGGGACCCAAGCACCTGGGCCATCCTCCACTGCTTTCCCAGGCCACAGCAGAGAGCTGGACTGGAAGAGGAGTAATCAGGACTAGAACCCGCACCCATATGGGATGCCGGCGCCGCAGGCAGAGGATTAACCTAGTGCGCCATGGCGCTGGCCCCTTGAATAAATGTTTAAATCAGTGCTTCCCTATTTCTGTTGAAGTACCAGATTTTTTTTTTATTTCAAATTCACTGCAGATTGACATTTCATTAGATAAAATAAAAATTATTTAAGGCCGGTGCTGCGGCTCACTAGGCTAATCCTCCGCCTTGCGGCGCCGGCACACTGGGTTCTAGTCCCGGTCGGGGCGCCGGATTCTGTCCCGGTTGCCCCTCTTCCAGGCCAGCTCTCTGCTGTGGCCAGGGAGTGCAGTGGAGGATGGCCCAAGTCCTTGGGCCCTGCACCCCATGGGAGACCAGGAGAAGTACCTGGCTCCTGCCATCGGATCAGCACAGTGCACCAGCCGCAGCGCGCCGGCCGTGGTGGCCATTGGAGGGTGAACCAACGGCAAAAAGGAAGACCTTTCTCTCTGTCTCTCTCTCTCACTGTCTACTCTGCCTGTTAAAAAAAAAAATTTATTTGAACAATGATTTTATATTTGAGGCTGTAACAAAATCAAATTGCCACAGAAATTTCATACTTCTTATTTTCAATTTCTAAACTTACCCCTTCACCGACATGTAATAAGGTTCATTAATGACATTTTGGATGGAACTGTTTTTGTTGTTGTTCTTATAGGAGAGAAACACACACACACACACACAAAACACACACGTACAGAGAAAGAGAGAGAGAGAGAGATCTTCCATATGCTGATTCACTCCCCAAATGGCCCCAACAGCCGAGTTTGGCCAGGCCAAAGCCAGGAACCAGGAGACTCTTCTTCCTGGTCTCCCATGTGGGTGCAGGGGCCCAAGCACTTGAGTCATCCTCTGCTGCTTTCCCAGGTGTATTAGCAGGGAGTTGGAATGGAAGTAGAGTAGCCAGGACCTGAGCCAGCACCTATACGGTATGCTTGAACTACAGGCCATGGCTTAACCCACTGCACCACAGTGCCAGCCCTGTGTGAAACTGTTTTAAATGACCAAGAATGATGATAATAGGGCCAATATATGTCTTTGGCATGTAATTGGGGACATACTGACAAAACATAGGGTCATACATTTAACAAAATATTAAAAATTGCCACCTTCTCAAATGAAATAGTAAAGTTCTGACTGCTCAGATTTCTCTAGTTTGTCCTCCAATTTATCAGGAGTATGATGAAATAGAGAACTCAATTGACATATTCTAGATCACATTAGCAAAGAAATTACTTGTTTTTTTTTTAAAAAAAGCTTCTCCTTTAAGATCCTACTAGACTAAATGAAAACTACTCTTTAAGTACTTAAGTATAATACTTAAGTAGAGTAAGAAAAATGTCAATAAGAATTTGAAAGTAAGATTTAGGGCAAATAGTTTGCTTTGGAAAATTACCTATAACATATGACTTCAAATATTTCAAAAAACGATTTAGCTAAACTACAATTAAAGGAGTGAAAAACTCTATTCTCCAACTAGAATGCAAAATAGAAGAAAACTTTTAACAATACTATAAAATGATCACAATAAAGTGGTAAGTTTTGAAAGGATATGCTTTGGTTCTTTTAAAAGAGATATCTTCAGTCTCATGTCTCCACTTTCAGCAAAAAATTTAAATGCCACTTAATTGTATTCACTGTAAAAATAAAAGGGGAAAATATATAAAGTTAGCATTGAAAACAAACATGTCAACACACACAAAAAGCTACCAAAACAGCTTTGCACCCCAAGGAATACTGTAACCCCTTTCATTTTTCTGGCATTACATGGGAAAAGGAAGAAAACTGATAGGTGCGCCAATCCTGTCAAAGGGCAATGGAGAGTCTTGGGTTGAACCCTCTGCAAGCTTCCTGAGTTGGTCCTACAAGTCCAGGGCACCATTAAGTAAATCTGATCAGATAAAGAACTGTCAAAGGCAATCCTGAGCCACACCAAAAGATTCTGCAAACTGGGAACTCTTCATAAATCAATTTTAGCCCTGTGTAATGGCTATAAATTGAATTTCCAGTCTGAACAAAAAATAAACTACATTTTTAGAAATTTAATTTTAGGATTCCTATGGGAATAATATATCATCAATCTGGTAGCCCAATCTGGGGTTTGTTGTTGCAAGGTGGTCCAGGGTAGGGGGAAGGACCAGCAGACACTATCCAACAGTTTTGGTTAACACAATGGCAATATGAAAAAATAATTATTTAAAGAAAGAGGTAACATTTTGATTATAAAATTCACATAAAAGTCACAGTAACTATTAAATAAAAACTTCAAAAAAAGAGGAGTAACGCTTTCTAAATAACCATCTCATTGAAAGAAACAAATCAAGAAAATTCTAAACTGTCAGACTCCAATTTACATGTACAGACTTACTTTCTCAATAATTTAACCTAAAATAATTCATGGGCCAGTGTTGTGATGTGGGGGTAAGGGTGCCACCTGCAATGCCCTCATCCCATTGGGTGCTAGTTCATGTCCTGGCTGCTCCACATCCCTGTTAGGGGTCTATGAAAAGAAGTAGAAGATGGTCCAAGTTCTTGGGCCCCAGCCACACCATGGGAGACCTGAAAGAAGCTCCTGGCTCCTGGCTTCAGCCTGGCCCAGTGGTGGCCGTTGCAGCCATCTGGTGAGTGAATCAGTGGATGGAAGATCTCTCTCTCTCTGTCTCTCTCTCTCTTCCTCTCAGTCTCTCCCACTCTTTCTGTAACTTTGACTTTCAAATAAATAAATAAATCTTTTTTATAAAAGTGTAAATAAAGGGAAAAAATTCTCTTTACCCAGTCAAAAGTTACTGCTAACCATATCAAAGGAGATGCTGACTATATTTAGTAGACCTCCTTTAGATAATTTCTTATTCCCTTGAGTCCTGGAAGACTTTTAGTTCCCATAAGGTACTGAATACTGGCACTGTATTTCAAAACATTCCTTTCACTTCTCTTTCTTCCAGTTGTCACAGGGCGATTTCTGTTGAACATCAAAGGTATGAAATTTTGTAGCACAGTCAGAGCTAGAATACAATCTCCCCCAGGCAAACTTCACAGGTTCACTTTTTGTTCCTTAGTAGTTCAACATCTTCTTCAAAACTCCTTCCTCCCTCCTAGCAGGACTCTTCCAATCAGTGAAAGTAAAAAGAATAACATTTTAAAAAATTCTGTTTTTTCACAATAGCTCAAATTTACTTAGCTAGTAAAGAGTTTAATAAAATAAAAACAGATAGGGGCCAGGATCGTGGCTCACTTGGTTAATCCTCTGCCTGGGGCACCGGCATCACATATGGGCACCGGGTTCTAGTCCCAGTTGCTCCTCTTCCCATCCTACTCTCTACTGTGGCCCGGGAGGGCAGTGGAGGATGGCCCAAGTGCTTGGGCCCCCGCACCCACGTGGGAGACCAGGAAGAAGCACCTGGCTCCTGGCTTCGGATCAGCGCAGCACCAGCCATAGCGGCCATTTGGGGGGTGAACCAATGGAAGGAAGACCTTTCTCTCTGTCCCTCTCTATCTCACTGTCTAACTCTGTCAAATAAAAAATTAAAAAAATAAAAGCAGATAAATTCTTGCTTCTGGAAGTGACAAAGAACACAACAGATACAAAAATATACATAAAAGCTGGATATACTATTGATATAAAAATTTTTAAAACAGTATGGTTTTTATAAGAAAAGGGACTACTGCCCAACAAAGAAAAGCCCAGGACTGGACAGCTTCACTGTTGAATTCTACCAGACATTTAAAGAACTAACTCCAATTCTTCTCAAGCTATTCAAAACAATGGAAAGTGAGAGAGTCTTCCCAAACTTCATATATGAAGCCTACGTCATCTTAATTCCTAAACCTGAAAAAGATGCAACAGAGAAAGAGAATTATAGACCAATATCCCTGATGAACATAGACACAAAAATACTCAACAAAATATTAGCTATTCAAATCCAACAACACAGCAGAAAAATCATTCACCAGACCAAGTAGGATTTATCCTGGGTATGCGAGGATGGTTCAACATTTGCAAATCAATTAGTATGATACATCAGATAAACAAAATGAAGAACAAAAACCATAGGATTATCTCAGTAGATGCAGAGAAAGCATCTATGACAATGCAGCATCCTTTCATGATGAAAACCTTAAACAAATTGGTTATAGAAGGAACATTCCTCAACACAATCAAGGTAATTTATGACAAACCCATGGCCAGTGTCCTCTTGAATGGGGAAAAGTTGGAAGCATTCCCTCTAGGATCCAGAATCAAACAAAGATGCCCACTCTTACCACTGCTACTCAATATAGTTTTGGGAAGTTTTAGCCAAAGCCATTAGGCAAGAAAAAGAAATCAAAGGGATACAAATTAGAAATGACAAAATCAAACTATCCTTATTTGCAGATGACATGTTTCTATATATAGGGGATCCAAAAGACTCCACAGTGAGACTACTGGAACTCATAAAACAATTTGATAAACTGGCAAAATATAAAATCAACATAGAAAAATCAATAGCTTTTGTATACAGAGAGAATGTCATGGCTGAGAAAGAACTTTTAAGATCAGTCCCATTCACAATAGCTTCAAAAGGAATTAAATACCTTGGAATAAGTTTAACCAAGGATGTCAAAGATCTCTATGATGAAAATTACAAAACATTAAAGAAAGAAATAGAAGAAGACATTTAAAAATGGAAAAATCTTCCATGTTAATAGATTGGAAGAATCAACATCATCAAATCATTCACACTACAAAAGCAATTTACAGATTCAATGGGATCCCAATCAAAATACCAAGGACTTTCTTCTCAGATATAGAAAAAATGATGCTGAAATTCATATGGAAACACAAGACATCCCAAATAGCTAAAGCAATCTTATACAACAAAAATAATGCTGGAAGCATCACAATACCTGATTTCAAGACATACTACAGGGCAATTATAATCAAAACAGCCTGGTACTGGTACAAAAACAGACTTGCAGATCAAGGGAATAGAATAGAAACTCCAGAAATCAATCCATGCATCTACAACGAACTCACATTTGTCAAAGGAGCTAAAATCAATACCTGGATCAAGGACAGTCTCTTTAACAAGTGATGCTAGGGAAAATGGATTTACACATGCAGAAGTATGAAACTATCCTCCTACCTTACACCTTACACAAAAATCCATTCAAAATTGATCAAAGACCTAAATCTATGACCCAATACCATCAAATTATTAGAGAACATTGGGGAAACCCCACAAGACATTGACAGAGAAAGAGTTCTTGGAAAAGACCCCAGAAACAAAGGCAATCAAAGCCAATTACATCAAGCTGAGAAGTTTCTGCACTGCAAAATAAGCACTCAGCAAAGTGAAGAGACGACAGACAGAATAGGAGAAAATATTTGCAAATTATGTAACTGATAAAGGGTTAATATCAAGAATCTATAAAGAGCTCAAGAAATTCAACAACCACAAAACAATCCAGTCAAGAAATGGGCAAATGGAGCTGGTTCTGTGGCATAGTGGGTAAAGCCACTGCCTGCAGTGCCGGCATCCCATATGGGCACGGGTTCGAGTCTCGATCTGGCTCTCTGCTGTGGCCTGGGAAAGCAGTAGAAGATGGCTCAGGTCCTTGGGCCCCTGTACCCACACGGGACACCTAGTGGAGGCTCCAGGCTCCTAGCTCCTGGCTTCGGATCGGCACAGCTCCGGCCATTGCAGCCACTTGGGGAGTGAACCAGCAGATGGAAGACCTGTCTCTCTCTCTCTCTCTGTCTCTCCTCTTCTATGTAACTTATAGGTAAATAAATAAATGGGCAAAGGATTTGAACAGGCATTTTTTTTTAAGATTTTATTTATTTATTTGACAGGTAGAATTACAGACAGTGAGAGAGAGAGAGAGAGAGAGAGAGAGAAAGAAAGGTCTTCCTTCTGTTGGTTCACTCCCCAAATGGCCATAATGGCCAGAGCTGCACCCATCCAAAGCCAAGAGCTAGGTGCTTCTTCCTGGTCTCCCATGCGGGTGTAGGGGCCCAAGCTCTTGGGCCATCTTCTACTGCTTTCCCAGGTCACAGCAGAGAGCTGGATTGGAAGAGGAGCAACTGGGACTAGAATCTGGTGCCCATATGGGATGCCAGCACCGCAGGCGGAGAATTAACCTAGTGTGCCACGGCACCAGCACTGAACAGGCATTTTTTCAAAAGAGGAAATTCAAATGGCCAAAAGACACTTGAAAATGTCAGGATCACTAGCCAACAGGGAAATGCAAATCAAAAGCATGATGATGAGGTTTCACTTCACTCACTTAGAATGGCTCTCATACAGAAATGAACAAACAACAAATGCTGGCAAGGATGTGAGGAAAAAAGTACCCTGGACCACTGTTGATGGGAATGTAAACTGGTGCAGCCACTGTGGAAGGCAGTATGGAGATTCCTCAAACATCTGTATTAAGCTTACCATGTGATCCAGCCGTCCCATTCCTGGGAACTCACCCAACCCAAAAGAAATCACCATATGAAAGAGTTATCTGTACCCCCATGTTCATTGTGGCAAAATTCACAGTTAAAATATGGAATCAACTCAGATGTCCATCAGCTGTTGACTGGATAAAGAAATTATGGTTTATATACACTATATATAGCTATTAAAAAAAGAAATAAAAGAAATCCTGT